GCTTTGCGGTGCAATTTGCTTCCATACAAAATGTTTGGACGCAAATTTCACTGCAAAGAATAGCATGTGATTCCTGTCCAAATCGCATGTCGTTTCCCCACTGCTCCCGTTTGAACCCAGGCTTGTCATAGCCCGAGTTTACACAGGATCAGTGCAGGGAGCTTTTCCTCAGCGGAGAGTTGGGGAGAAGGGCATGTGGGGATGTATAACTTGTGGCAGATGAAGGCAGATGGTCCCATATTCTCATCTGTAGAAAAGCAGAGAAAGCTGCACCGATACGAAATCCCCATGGCTTTTTCGCTCTCCTTGCAAGGATGACAGTTTGGGCTAAAAGACTTTTGATTGGACAGCAGTTTATGTGATGGTGCTGAACAAACAGAAGATTTCTAGCCCTTACAGTCATCCCTGCTAGGAGAAAAGAGCTGCTTCACATGTCTGGGATTTGAAATCCCTGCTGCTTTCTCTGATCTTCTTGCAGAGAGTAAGGGCTAGACGGCTTCTGACTGGACAGCACCGTCCATGTGACGGTGCTGACAAATCAAAAGCCCTCTAGCCCTAACTGTCATACCTGCACGGAGAGGAGAGAAAGCAGTGAGGATTTCAAATCCCGGCCATGTTCTCTCCTCTCCCGCAGCTGATAATACGGAGCATCTGCCTCCATGGTATACATTCCCACACGCTCACTCTCTGCTCAGCATGGGATCAATGCAGCGAGGTTTCCTGCACCACTCCTGTTTGAAATCTATGACAACACTGGGTTCACACAGGAACAGTGGAGAAATTCCTGTTCAAATCACATGCTATTCTTTGTGGTGCAATTTGCATTTTGCACCACAAAGTATCAGTTTCCAGTATCGGGAGCATTTTCATGAGTACGAGTGCTCATGAAAGTACTCAGTATCAGCATTGATCCCGGTATTGGTGCATCCCTATATACCATAGTTTGTGGACTCTAACTTTCCTACGGACTTGGGTTATGTTCACCAAAGAAATGTAGCAGAACACATTCTGACCAAATTTCGGAAGAACAATTACTTAATTGTAAAAAATGTTTTACATTTTCAGTCTTTTTTAGTTTATTTAGCAAAAAAGGAAAAAAATCCATTGGCGATTATAAACCACCAAAAAAAAGCTCTAGTTGTGTGAACAAAATGATATAAAAAAAAAATAAAAAATTTAGTCTGGGTATAGTGTTGCATGACCGTGCAATTGTCACTCAATGTGTGAGAGCGCTGAAAGCTTTAAAAGTGGCCTCGGCAGAAAGGGGGTAAAAAGTGCCCGATATTGACGTGGTTAGGCAAAAAAGTCATTTTATTACAAATAACATTTATAAATGCAGTATACTTTGAGAACAAAATGATAGCACACTTAGTACAGCACTTAGGACTGGTATATGGCAATTTGTGTGAAATAATTTCCCTAAAAGCTTGGCCAGGTATTGAAGGGGGAAGGAACCAGAAGCTCCGGTGAAGGACCCAAGAAGAGGAATGGGGCTGATCTGTGGTAAGGATAAGATGTTTATTTTAGAAAAATAAAATATAAACCTTCAATATCACTTTCAATATGACAGAAAATTGCTGCCTTCATATTTCTTTTATTAATGGCCCTAAGGCCCCTTTCACACCTGAGCGTTTGTAGTTCGAAGCTCCAAAACGCTTGAGGGGGGAAAAAAAAAAATCAATGATTCTCAATGGAGAAGGGTCCCTTCTCCACTCCAAGTCACCAATAGTAAAATGCCTGAAGCTCAAACAACTTCTGGAGCTTTTTTTGTAGCGCAAATTGGGCATATTTGCGTGTTTTTGGCACGTTTTAATTCCCATAGAAATGAATAGAAAAGCACGATTGGTGTGTTTTGCGCAATTTTCTGTTCAACTGAAAGAATATAAAAAAATATTTTTATATATATATATATATATATATATATATATATATATATATATATATATATATATAATAAATACTCAAATAAAAAATTATGATAAATTAACCCCCAACTTTAACCCCCTAACCCTAAAAAAAATTTAAGTTATTATTTATTTTTTTTTAAACGGATAGGGGATTAAGGTTAGGGGGTAATTCTTTATTTTACATTTCTTTATTTATTTAGTATTAATATTAAACCCCTAACAGGGAAAAAAAATAAATAGGAAGAAGATAATAAAATATTAACCCCAAGTCAAACCATAACCCCTAATCCTAGCCTAACCTTAACCCCTTACCCTAACAAAAAACAAAATAATAATATGTGAATAATAATTAAAAAAAAAAAAAACTGATGGAAAAGCTAAAAAACAGAAAAACCTAGCAACAAATGATGCAACAGATATTTCTCTCTATTGGCGAATAAAAAACACCAAAGAGCAAACGCTGTATAAAAAAAAACAGGCAAAATCACAGTAAATTATAAGCAAGAAAAATTGCGGGAGTTATGCTCAGGTGTGAACGCAGTCCAATTGTTTTTCCCCAATTCTATTCTTATTATCTTGCATGGTCACTATAGATAGAAATGTGTTACAATGCGTGGTTGTGGTGAATACATTACTACCATTTAAAGTGCAAAGACAGATTAATGTACTATTTAAAATAATGTTTACATAATATTTACTGAATAGGCCACTTTATTAAATGGGGGTATTTACAGCTGTCTACAAGTAACCAGGCCACAGAAGGGAACACAGGTCTGCCACTAAAGAAATGCAAATGAAAAAAAATATCTGTCTCATGCATATTTCATGAATTGTAAGTTCTCCACATTGAAATCTATCACCTAAAGCAGGGTACTTGGACTCCGGAATTAATTACGATCTGTTTCAGCTGACCTGTATTCTGTTAGTATTCTGAAATATATATTTCCTTTTAATATGTTTAATAATGTATATTCACTTTTTTTTTTCTTGCAGAGAGGATGGGATGATAGTCTTACAAAAGAAATTAATTTTTTAACATAAATCTTCAGTAACAGTCCTATCTGCTAAGCAATTTTCTATCCTTCATTTAGTTGCAATTCATTTTCCATTCTACAGTGTGAGTGTCATACTATAACAAATACACAAAGTAAAACATTTGAAAAAAAATGGGTAATAATGGAGCACTCAAAATGACCAGGTCAAATATAATGCAAATAGTTTTTTAAATTAAAAAGCGAGTGAGGCTTGAGCAAAACAAACATGTCTGAAAATGCTAAACACCCACACCGATTGTCTACTTAAATGTCAACTGCATGCTACAGTTTCTTACAAGTGTACGGAATGATTCAAAATATTACAGCCTTGAAGTATCAAGAACTGATCCACTTTGTGGATAATCAAAAACAGGCACGAAGTACTGTTGGCAATTTTTTTTTTTACTTCACTTAACTCTACCATGATCAGATATTTTTCTGAACTCTGCTTTTGCATTTACGGAAATCTTTAGAGAAGTAATCCTAAACAGTTAGGTTTTTCAAGCAGAGTGAGCTACTGCCACGTGAGCTTGCTTTTAGTTTGTGCATGGCTATATATGCCCAGTTGTTGGGGACTCCGGTTGTTTGGAGTTAAGGACCACACTTTACAGAGAGGTGCCATGGTGTGGCAGTATGGCTTCAATGCACATTTGCAACAAAACCTACATTTTAACCTGAATAGCTGAAATAATTTAATTAGTTATTTCCCCTAGTAGGTTTGAAAGTTTGCAGGGGTCCACATTTGTATGGTTTTGTATATTGCCCTGTCCAAGTGCACCTTTCACCTTATGGCTGTTTCAAACTGATCACAGTTTCTGCCATTGTTGCATTTTTTGTATTTGGTTCAGACACACACTGGAAGTCTTTAGGTCCCTTGCAAAGGTGGTGTCTAGGCTTCAGGGGGGTTAGAATACCTTTAAGGAAGAGGGGGTGCCTCTAGGTGAATCTGTTCTTACTTTGTAAGTTGCTATACATGCCCCATAGTTGGGGAGTTTGGAGTTAGGGACCTTGCTTTACAGAGGTGTGCCGGTGTGGCAATGTGGCTACAACAAGTATTTGCAAATGTGTGTAACAAAACCTCTGTTTTTACACAAGTAGTTGAGATAGCTTTAAAAAGGGTCTTGGAGATCCACTTTGTATTGTTAGGTTAAGAACTTGATTCACAACTGGCCGCTGAGGGAGTTCATCATAGTATGTCCAACAGGACTGTGGGGAGGAAGTAGGCAAGCTTTAGCACTGGCAGAAGTATCAGTGCTTTGCCCATCAGAATGGACCAGGATTTGGTTGTGAGGGGCCGTTTCAAAATTGATGCAGGTACTTTTTTTTTTTTTTTTTAAACTTGGTGTAAGAGCCGCTTTAAACTATTTTCTGCTCGGGTCCTTGCTCACTCTTGGCATTATACTTTGATAAAATTCAACGGAGAAATACAGAGAAGAAATCTATACATCTATCAGTTTCATTATTGTAACATGAAGTTTAACGATTGAGTGAAAGTTTAGGCAAACAATTAGAATCTATATTATTTGCAGTGATTAACCTGCCATACCATTTCCATTTCTGTTCAGCCAATCGTCTAATACAACAGGTATCAATGGGACACATGAAAAAAACATGCATGTGTATTAACCTCCCTAGCGGTCTGATTATGTCCATATTTCTGTGCTCAAAGCGGTACATTTTTTTGCATGGAAATATGTATTTTTTTTTTATTGTAGGCCTGTAATTTTTAGGAATAACTCACTGAAATCTGTCCGAACAAGAGTCTAGTAAACATCCCATGGTAGGATAAAATTTGAAACACGAAATCATAAATTATAATTTAATAAAATAATCATAAAAAATATATTATAATAATAAATTTAATTCAATAATATAATCACAAATCATTATCCCTCAATTCTGCAAGTGGTTCTAATTTACTATCGCTGTTCTCTAGCTGGTCTAAAACCGATTTTGACCTAAAGGGACACTTTTTGGACGCCATGGACGTTTCTCAGTTTCCAGGCAATAAGAACAGTAGAAATGCAGGCAGGGCACAGGACAAAGCACTAGGGACAAAATGTATGTGAAATGGTTTGATACAGTAATGTTTTACTATGTGATTGTAGTGTATTTAGTGAATGTCACTTTTTGTCATTCAAATTTCCCGCCAGTTCCGTCCCCCTGTACGTCCCGACGCTCGCAGGGGACGGAACCCAGATGACAGATGCCGGGATCCGCCGGATTACATTGCCGGGGACACTGCAGGATGGACATCGCGGGAGCGCAGGACAAGGTAAGTGAAGAACAGATGCCGGAGCAGCACCGCATGGTAAGCCCAAGTGTAGCTCGGGGTTACCGCTTTTGGTACTGAAACTTTACCCCGAGCTACACTCGAGAATACCGTCAGGGAGGCTACGGAACTGCAGTAGGGTAGGTGAAGCATGAAGGAGAGTTAGAAAACAATGGTACATATGCCTGGCTACACAGTGCAATAGGGGTGTCTGATTCACAGGACATACCCGAATTACAAATCCTACAGCACGTAAAACTGTCCCCATACTGTATGCGCACTTGATCTGGGTATTTAGCCGTTTGAATTGAGCTCCTCTTTATATTCTCTAAAGTGAATCTAAATGAAATAGAAGTGTTTACCGCAACAAACAACCAGAACTAGGTTGCCTTTCTTCCAGTACAGACTGGATAATAAGAGAAGCATTTATGTGGTTTCTGCTCCAGAGAAATAATCACAAGGGTTTCTTTGACAAGTGTTATCTATCTAATTGACAATTCCCCCTTATGAGCCATTACGTACAGTATGAGTAAGCTTGTAAAATCATAATCATTGGCACTGCGGGTTTACTTAGCAGCAGATGTGGTCTCTCAATGATGGAAACATATTTGTAACTGTGGGCAAATAGTAACAACCACAACACTGTGTTAAATGGAGAATTGATGGCCATTCACTGCCTCAGCAACTTGCAAGGTAAGTGCCATATAGGAACAATGCTTATGCTGTGTAGGGCTTCTCTATGGAAATATAATGACTTCTTTCCATTGAGTGTCCTGCATCACACATGGGACTTGAATGCTGAAGAGCATAGGCTTAAAGCCAGAAACCATATCAACCAATAACCTTCCCCAATAAATGACAGTAAGACAGGTTAAATTGAAAATGGCGAAGCCACAGCTTTACTGAAATCTCCAACATAAACATTTAACCAGTGCCACTCATAAGTGTATTGTGAGCACTCGTGAACATTAACTTGATCTAATCTAAAAGGCTTGTCATTACCATGAGTGCTGGACAGACATTAGACTGATCAAACTTCCACTCAAGGGCATAGCCCATTAAAAGAAACATTGAACACTGGCAAGGTAAAAACGGCCGGGAAAGCTGTGATAACCTACCTGAAACAGAACAGGGCAGCCAACTCTTCTGTAGCTGCTATTCCACAGGTGAAAATTAGAATTTTGTCAGGAGTGATCTTTTTATAAAGTTCACGCCCTACCCCCTTCATCCCAAGCCCAAATAGCCAATTGTCTTAACACAGTTCAAACTCATAGCTTATGTCCACACTCAATCACTGAGCCATGCTTCCTGCAGTCAAGGCTCCTGACTTTACATATGAGATCAAGGGGCCTTCATTTCCAAAAACAGTAAGGCCCCTTTCACACTTACAGTCTGATCGGGTCCACCTGTCAGTTTTTCAGGCGGATCTGATCAGACCATCCATAGACCCCTATGGACAAGTATCCGCCGACACCCACCAGCATCCGATCTGAACCTGTACGCCAAAAACAAGACGGATGGGCCGGATCGGATGACAGTCGGGTGGAAAACGGACAAGTGGTCCGTTTCCATCTGACCACCCCATAGAAGTCAGCGGGCTATGTGTGTGTCCACCCTGTAGCAGCGGAGCAGACACAGACCTGTCATTCGCCTGCTCAGCAGGGATCAGTGAAGAGATCCCCCTGCTGAGAAGGCGGATCCGCTCACGGGTTCATCCTGTTTGTAGGGGGCCTTAAGAGCAAACTTTCTGTGGAGTGAATGGAAATTAATGCTTCATCATGTATGCACTCCTACTCAATGGTCAAGCCTAAACAGAGTATCAGAAGTAAAGCATTGTGTAGGACAGGCATCTATCCCAAAACTTGTCAAGTTATTTGCTGATGCCCATATATTCTCTTGTCCAGACAAAAACAAGATTGTAAACATTACATTTACTGTATTATAAAAGTGTTTCAAAATATTTTAACATAATATATATATATTCTCAAATGGTTTAGTTCAAAGGTACAGAAATGCAATTCGGCCCTGCTCCAACCCACCCCTCTTTCACTATCCCTCATCCCTCCTTTTTTCTATTTCTCTTTTCTTTCTTAGATATGTTTCCTCTTTTCCAGCCTGGACTTTCAATCAAAGTTATCACAGGGATCTTTTTTGGCCCCCTTTCAAAGGGCATTGTAAATTTGAAGTTGCATGTGTCCCTCTCTACACCTACCATGTTTCTCGGAGGGGGGGAGCTCAGCTCCACTCACTTCATGTGCCTTGAAGGGTTCATATCTGGCCTGCTCACACTTGGTTGGTACGGTGGTCATCACATTTATACGCCAATGTGAAATGCTCCATCTGTTAACTGCATGTCTACCTTTGTAAAAATCTAATTAAAAAAATTAATGAAACAAAAAAAATGCAATATGATAGTGGAAATTGTTACTGGGCCTGTTGCCCTGGGAACTCAGTTTTGACCAAGAATCAACAATGCTCATTGCTTTCCCCCCTTTCACTGCACCAACAGAAAAGTCATGATGATGTGAGTACAGTATATGGGAGAAGAGCTATTTAAACACAAAAGTTTATTATACTGTGTGAATGGTAAACTTTATTATCAACAAGAACCTTTTTAGCCTCAAAATGTTATTAAAAATACAGAAGACACAGAATGCAGGTACCCAGTTTTTTTTTTTTATTGAACACATCTTTGCTCCTGGAAACACACCATGGAAATGCAATGTAGCTTCACAGGTATACCATGCCTTCTGCATTCTTGCCATATCAATGACAACATTTGTAATTGGCACAAGAGATGTTTTTATTGTAACGTGGGCAAGAATAGAGGAGGCAGTATTCTGGGAGGCTCGTTAACAGCAATAAAGCAATAGTGCTTGCCCACACCTTGTATTGTTAAGGGGGTTGGGAGCCCTAAGGATTTTAAAATATGTTGAGGGGACATGGTCCTCATATTTCTTTAGTAACTTAGCGCTTTCCATATAAACCTTAGTTATGCCACTGAAATAATTAATTTTAATTCTAAGAAATCCCCAACTAAAGCCAATTCACTGGGGAGGAAATCAGTGGAAAAAAATGTTCCTTACATTGGTAGCCAATGGGAAGAATGCACCACTTACAGTAGTGATCAGAATGACACCCTTAGGGTTTGTCCACATAAGTGGACTAGGGGTGGTAAAAAAAAAAAAAAAAAAAAAAAAGGGGATGGTTAAGCGATGGTTTTCGCCCCCCCCCCCCAACCACCCATCTATACAAAGACAAGCAGCCAAAGCCACAATGCTATACTTTAGAGAAAAAAAAATATGCCTTCACCCATTGCATTAAGTGGGTAGTATCACTGCCAGATGCAATTCATTCAAGTCAATGGGGCTCTTGCCTCTAAAATTGTTCACCGCAGATCGGTTTTTACAGGGGTAGCAAGGGGTGCCACCTGTCTGAACTGGGTCCTAAAGACAGCAAAAAAGATGACTGGTGTCAAGCGGCTGGCTGTGACGAGTCGCATTGGTCCCCCAAAAATTTAGACACCATACAATGGTAGGTCACTCAGCCATACCTCAAAGAACCGATAGTAACTTCTGGAGGAATCCTAGTGTTCCAAAGAACCCACCATAGCTGAAAATCAATCTTTAGAGACATTTTGATCAATAGTAGCACCAACTGACTAGACATTTGTCAGTTCATGTATAAAAATGTACAGTCACCTCTAAGGTGAGCTCAGGCTGTAAAACATGTAGTTACAGGCAGAAACTGTGCACCTTAACGAGCATAGGTATGTGTTGGACCAAACTTCTGTGCATAAAATTCAAGATAATCAAATTCAGACAGACTGATTTTATAGACTATATAAAACCCCGTCATTTTTAAAATGTGGTAGGTAGCTTTCTTTTGTGTTCCCATCAAGCATAACAGAAAGGGAACACTGTTGAATCTGATTTGACTGTACTTACAGGGAAATGTTGAGGATTTGGAAGGAAGGAAATGAGTCATGGTGGATTTGGTTATCGGTCAGCTTCTCTCAAGGCCTCCCATGGGTAAGCAAATGTATGGCCCTTCCAGTGCTCATTCATATCTCCCTGCTGCACCTGTCAAGCTTAATAAACAGCAAAGTTGCCCAACCATTGATAAACATACTAATATGTCACCAAACTAATGCCAGCTAGTCTGGCTTTTGCTGGGTACAGGAAAAGGAAAATGTTATCTTTATTTGGCAATATTCTTAACACAAAACCACCAATTAACTGTATTTTGTAATAGAGAAATAGTTTAACATTTTGGAGTTCAGACAACATATAGGAATATATAGATAGCATCCTATGTATTCAATAATGTACAGTACATGAATAGCAAAAAGTCAAAAATATAGTTTTTTTATTTTCAATGCAGTTAGCATTATATATCTCAAGCTAAAGTATACCATTCCCTCAACTATACCTCCCACCTTTTTAAAAATGGTCAACATCTACAAATACTGTAGGGGATGCATTAAAAATGCATGCAATGCATACAAAAAAAGAAAACCATGTACATAGCAGTGCTTGATTTCAATTTACTCTATTCAGATTTGTTATCAATCCATGAACAAGCTCCCCCTTTATACATGTTCAAAAAACAGTGCCCCCCAAACCTACAACTTTTCAAGGATTACATTTTGAGGACTAAGATTTCCATTATTTCACCGACTGCCTCAAGCAGTAAAAGAGCCAAGCACACCTCTGGCAAGACAGAACAATGGTATCAAACTCAAACCGAAAATGTAATATATTGTAGCTTACCAATCATTAGATATGCAGGCTGCATCAGTTTTCTTTTTAGGCTTTTTTTAGACCAACTGAATTAGTGTGCCCCCACTCTGGATGAAGGAGCACCTTTGGATAGCAGCATTCTTAATCTGGGGGGGGGGGGGGGGGTGTTTGATGTACTAGCAGATTTAAATACACTAATTGAAACCAAACTCCAGAGCTTGTACTTTTGAAAAACAACAGACTTACTGGCTGGATCATCAGATAAACAAAATAGAGGAAAGGCTAAAAAAAAAAAAATTAATGCAGCCATCACATCTAAGAAATGGCAAGATGCAATATAACAAAAACGTGTGCTTTTCAGTTTAATACCACTTTAAAACATAT